CTTCTCTTGCACTTTTCACTTGTGGAACTCTCTTCTAGTTTCTTGCTTCCTAGTCAATTTTAGTCTTCAAAAATTTAATTGCAATGTCAATCGTTACCTGCCGTTATTTTATACCATCCGAAAACTGATCCTAAATTCGCACGATGTGGCGCAACTAAATTGGATGCAATAAGAAGTGTTTGATGGGGTTTTCAAGGTGGCCACCCGCATGACCAAAATAGAATGAATTAATAGATAAATAACTGTAAACTTTTGGGGTCAAGTGACAACAAATTGGACGATTAAGATTTCCGGTGACGGGTCTATATTAGTGGACAATGTTGATATTGAGGCCATTCTGGACTGTCTTTTAGCAGAGGACAGACATTTGTCTGAGATAGTTCCGATTCTGCATGTGGCATGTGCATCGTTATTAAAGCATCATTTAAGTTTGGTGGCTCTCCGTTTCCTTAATGGATAGCGGCTCAGATTGAGGAACCGGAGAGCCGAGTTCGAATTCCAGTCGAATCCATTACATTCACTTACGTTCTAATACCCTTGGTAAAGGTATGAATCATCTTCTCCCTCGTGGAAGTAAAGAAATTGGTGAATTTCAACGAGGACAAATAATTGGATAGCATCATGAGTGTGGCAAGTCAAATAGAGAAATTGCTAGGTTTTTCCAGGTTAATCATCAAATGGTTAATAATATTGTCAAGAAATTTAATGAAGAAGGGTATTGTCGTGTGGAACAACGTTCAGGAAGACCAAGCATCGTGTCTGAGCGAACGAAAAGAGCATTGAAGATGGAAGTCATCAGAAACGGTCGTCAGAGAGTTAAAGATGTCGTCAATAACATGGAAGCGTCGCTATGTGCGGTGGGAAAGACTCTGAAAGAACTAGGCTATCAAAGAAGAGTTGCAAGAAAAAAGCCCCTGATTTCAGAGGTTAACAGGAACAGGTGTATGGACTGGGTGAGAGAATTCGATAGCAAAGATTTTGAATTTTGGCAGTCTGTCATTTGGTCAAATGAAAGTAAATTCTGCCAATATTCGAATTCTAGACAGGTTTATGTTTGGAGAAATCAGAATGAGACTTGGAACACTGAATGTTTGCGGGCAACCGTGAAACATGAAGGGATTGGAATAATGGTGAGAGCTGCTGTCTGGTTTGGAGTGAAATCTGAGCTGATTCTTGTTGACGAGCGGTTGAATGGTCCAAAATACTGTCAAATATTAAAGAAAAGAATACTCCCACTATTTGAAACCAACAGATTGAGAAGAATGTCTACCTTTTTCAAGAAGAAGGAGCGCCATGTCATACGTGCAAAGTAGCAAAGGCCTAGAAGGAATTGCAAGGAATCAAGTCACTGCCATGTGTTGCCCAAAGTCTTGACATGAATCCAATAGAGCACATTTGGGAGCACCTTCACTGAAGGCTTCGAGAGCGTCCAACTAAAATCACGTCAGTGGCAACCCTTAAAGAAACATTGTTAAAGGAGTGGCAAAATATGGATCAGACAATTATTGATAACTTGATCAAATCCATGAAAAATCGAATACAAGCACTGAAACTAGTAAATGGAGAACTTACTCCATACTAGTTCCAAATACTGTTTATTTATGTTAAGCAGGAATTACGTAATTATGTTTTGAAGTTTATTTCTGCTGGTTAAAAACTTTTCTTAGGCCACCGTACACTCAAATATTTTTATGTATGCATACTGTATATATCAATTCGCACACACATTCATACCCACACAGACTAACTAGAAAAATAATTCACTGTTAATAACTCATTCTCGAATTTTCCCCCTTAAAAGTCAAAGTGCGCTTAGTGGTAGCATCCTACCGGTTCGCGTAAACTGAATCTTAAAATTATAAATGCTTAGAGAACCGATTGTTGGATTAAAGAGAAAATAATCTTATATATTAGTAACCAATAGTCAAGACAAAATGTTTGCTACGCTCGTGCGCTTATCTAGTGAAACTCTAATAGGCACACATCCCTTGCCACAAGAAAACGTAACGAGAAAAATTGTCATAAACACGTTGTACCCCCAAATATCCAAAGAGCTAAAAATATAATTAATACCACTGCTGTAAGTTCTGCGAAGGCTGAAAAAGAGTTTTTTTGTAATGAACATAATTTATTATAAGAAAAGAAATCGTGTTGAACTTAAAAATGTGACAACTCTTCTCATCATAAATTTTATAAGTCTTCCATTAGATCTTTGGGACTGAAGCGATTCGTCCGAATGTTGCTAAGAAACCACACCACAACTGATGACACAAGAGTCAAAAAGCATCATACTTCTGAATAGAATTATGATGAGAACAGAATTTCAATCTGAAAATATCTTAATAAATAAATGTTTTCTATTAAATTATCAAAATGGTTTAACTCTTTTTGATACTATAAAGTGATTTGTTTCCATTTCTCAGATTGAAAAGAAAATAAGCAGAATAGGTTCCTAAAGATTACCTGCCATTGTAGAACCGGTTCCTGGAAATTTCCGACACCATTATTGTGTGCACCCCACTTTGGGAACCACGGGCTCAGTGGATTGAAGCGTTGATTTGCGAATTTGGTGACATAGTTATTGTGAGTTCGATGCCTGGGCCGGGCAGTGTTTACTTGGACTCTGTGGAAATGGGGAATGAACAATAACTGAGTTGTAATAAGAATAAATGCTAGACGAGCTATAGAAACATGGGCAATGGAACGAGAACAATCTACCACAGTAGATTAAATAAAGGGTGATATGCAGTGGAATTTCGAACCGAACCCTTTATTCAGTCCACGGGGGTAGATTTTTCCCCAAGGACAGCTGGATAAAAGCGTTAGTTGAGTAATTCAAAAAGTGACTTGAACCAGAGAGATTTGAGTTCAATACCTGGCTACAGCAGAGGGAACAAAAACTACTAAAGGGAATTAACTGAAACTGGGATATCCTTCTCCAAACAAAAGGCGTGGCACGTGGAATTAGAACAATCTACTCTCCGTGGAGTAAATAAAGAGTTCGATTTGAAATTCCAACGTATATCATCTGAAGAAGTTCACGGATTACAACGACCGAAACGTTGTACAAATGGCAATAAAGACAACTGTTCGAATTGTTCTAATTCCACGTACATTTGGATATCTCAGTTTCAGTTGAAACTCTTGGAGAGTTGAGTTAATAAGGTGTAGTAACTGGAACTGAGATATCCGAAGTCATGGCACGTGGAATTAGAACAATCTAAGGCACTTTTTGGATTACTCAACAAAAGCTTTTATCCATGTGTCCTTGGGGATAATCTACCCCATCTCCACCCGTAAAGTAAAGGATTCGGTTCGACACCTGAAGAAGGCCACAGCGTACAACGACCGAAACGTTGTAAATATGGCAATAAAGACAACTGCCCGAACAATGTAAATAGTATGAACAGTTCTAATTGTCGTCATCTACATGCATTTACGTTTTTCATGTTGCTTGGGTGCAGACACCTTTAATGGTAAAATATATGTTCATATCTAATATGCATGCAGATTAGAAAAAAGAACGAGCTGACATCAATAAATAATCACAGTAAGATAGCTAAGACGTTTAATAATTCCCCAGAATTTACATAGACTGGATGAAGCTGTCTTTTAAGAATCTTTTCCCGAGTGGGTTCCTTGATCGATATCCACCGATTGTAATTTCTGAAGGGTATATTAATCTATAAGATGAAAAACAAGATAACCATTTCACTGATTACTTCTCGGCTATGTTTACTAAGGAGTTCATCATTGACTAATATGAAAATCGTATCCTAACAACATCCTGGTTGATGAATTATGGCTGAGCTAAATTTATTGAAAGAAAAGAAAAGTATTGAAACCTGTTCATTGATGCCGTATCAAGTCTTTGTTATGACCGAACGTATATTTCTTTTTCAATCACGTTCATGATTTAATGATACTTGGTTACAAGCAATCAATAATCCACATATATAAAATGGATCATCTCTATTTTGCGTTTGAAACACTTTTCACAGAGATGACCTATATTTCACTATGATCCATTGTGAAGGTTTGGGGAACAACATTTTGATCCGCTGTTATGGTAGAGTGTGACACAAGGTTGGTTTTAATGTGGGATACTCATACGCGTACATATAGGCCAACGCGAAAAAATACACAGATCTTGTGATCCTTGTAACGTTGACGTTAGTTTCACACCGATCTTCCTTCTTTAGAGCAATGAGGAAGGTGATGCTGCAATTTGGATTTCCCGGGACCACGCTTAAAGGAACAGATACTTCACTCTGATCCTGAGTAAAGGGTCTGAGAATAACATTTGTAACCGTTGTTTGTCCCCTACCCATGATCGTAGAATGTGGCACAAGGTCAGTTTTAATGTGGGATGCTCATACGCATAGATTTAGGCCAACGAGAAAAATGCACAAATCTCGCGACCTTTGCTACGCTGGTGACAGTATCTACCAACCTTCTCTCTTTAGAGCAATGCGGATGTGATACCGCAGAGCTGTAGTTCCCGGGACCTGGTTTAAAGGAAGAGGGGTCAGATACTTTACTCTTATACTTGTTAAAATGTCTGCAACATTTTATCCACCTTGTCCTAATGGTAGAATGTGAGACAACATCGATTTAATGTACGGTTCTCATATGTCTATATACAGACCAGGGACAAAAATTGTTCTATCCCTGAGACCAGCGTCATGCCACCAAATCTCTCTCTTTAAAGCAATGAGGGAGGTTCTGCCGCAGGTTTGGAAACCCCGGAACCAAGGTTCGCTTATAACTTTAACAGAAAGGGAGAACAGTGTGTCCAGCCTGATCCTGGGTAAATGGCCTCGCAACAACATTTTAATTGCGGTCTGTACGCACTCTGGTCGTAGGCAAAAATACCGCTTCATAAAGGAGAAGAAATCGAAGCGAAATAAAAGTAAAATAGACTGAAAAAAAAGATTCAGTTAGATGACTCTGGGAAGTGGTTGTAACAGAAATCAATGGTGGTGTTGAAATGGTAGAGATCAGTATAGAAGAAGGCAAAAGAAGGAAGAGGAGAAGGAGGAGAAAGAAGGACAGCAATAATAACAAAGACAAGGAGAACAAGAAAAAAGGGGTAGAAGAGGAACATGAAGAAGAAGAAGAAGAAGAAGCACAAGAACAAGAGGAAGAATAAGAAAAACAACAAAAAGTACAAGAAGAAAAAGAAGAGCAACAACAACAAAAAGAAAGCAAAAAGAAGAACAAAGGGAAGAAGAAAAAGAAGAAGAAAAACAGAATGAACAAAAAGAAGAAGAAAAAGAAGTAGAAGAAGAAAAAGAAGAAGAAGAAAAAGAAGAAGAAAAAGAAGAAGAAAAAGAAGCAAAGGAAAAATAGGAAGAACAATAACAACAAGAATAATGAAGAAGAACAAGAACAAGAAAAAGAACAGCAGAAAAAAGAAGAAGAAGAAAAAGAAGAAGAAGAAAAAGAAGAAGAAAAAGAAGAAGAAAAAGAAGAAGAAAAAGAAGAAGCAAAGGAAAAATAGGAAGAACAATAACAACAAGAATAATGAAGAAGAACAAGAACAAGAAAAAGAACAGCAGAAAAAAGAAGAAGAAGAAGAAAAAGAAGAAGAAGAAAAAGAAGAAGAAAAAGAAGAAGAAGAAAAAGAAGAAATGAAGATCAAGAACAAAAAGAAGAAGAATGTAATTTACTCTTAAGTCAAAATTAGACATTAGTCGAGTTTATATACGAATCTGTACGTAGCCATTCGTAAGCTGGTTAGTTTAGGGAGAAGGGGTTTTACCATAATAATCGGCGAATTCTAAGCTCCATTAACAGGCCAAGAAAATAAGCAGGAGAAAAAGAAAACGCGACCCGGAACATCAGTATATTTGGAATTGTCTAAAAGGTACCATTACAGCTTTAGAAATATGCTATGCATATAAATAACTAATGGTCCAAGCAAAGGAAAATTACGATGTCATTGAAAAGGGTAAACTGCTCTTCAAAGCTAACAAGATTTAGAGGTTTAGATTTCTCCGTCAAGGCAAAACAAAATTTGGAGTTTTGGATTTTTCCTCCAAGCCAAAACAAGATTTAGAGGTTTCGATTTCTCATCCAAGTCAAAGCAAGATTTGGAGGTCTGGATTTCTCCGCCAAGGGAAAAACATGATTTGGAGTTTTGGATTTGTACTCCAAGGCAAAACAAGATTTAGGGGTTTGGATTCTCCTCCAAGCCAAAACAAGATTTATAGGTTTGGATTTCTTCTCCAAGCCAAAACAAGATTTATAGGTTTGGATTTCTCCTCCAAGCCAAAGGCAACATTTGGAGTTTTGGAATTCTCCTCCAAGCCAAGACAAAATTAAGTTGTTTGGATTATTCCTCCAAACCGAAGAAGATTTGAAGAAGGAGACTGCACCTCCAAGCCAAGAAGCCAGACAGTTTTTTCAGGTATGGACTAAAAAGCGAACAAAATTTCGGCCGATAAAATATCAATGTAAGCTTTGTATTCGGAGTAACACCAGAGTCTGACACATCTAAGATTCGGACTAGAAGTGCAGGATCGAGTTTGAAAGGATGTCATTTGCTGCACCGACATAAAACAGGAAATCAAAAACCCAGATGGATTTAGGATACATAAACACACAAGACAACGAGATGTCAGAAAGTTATATGCACACCCCCATCCGAGAAGTCAAAGTCCCTCACACCTTCGAGAAATGAAGTTCAACATTTGAAGAAGGTCCTTTAAGTCGATATTATTTTAACAGGGCCCAGAAGGAATAGTTAATATCATTACGTATGTAATATTTAGTCTCGTATTAGAGATATTAGACGTTACTAACATAACGTCCATCTTCATCTATGTGTCGTGTCCCTTAAGGAGGTAGGCGATGATGGCTATCCACAACATACTATCAATCGTGGCCCTTGGCTGCGTTTCTCACTTTACCAATCCTCTTACCTCTGATGCGACATCCATTCACACAATCTGGTCAGAGATTTGGAAGGCTCTCCGCCTTCTCCTATCTTTCTTACTCTCGGCATGCCATGTGAAAAAAATTTATCATCATCTCTACTCCGTAATCCATGAGGGCTGTAGGGGCAGTTCATTTACTGTAGCTATAGTAGCGGTAGTGTGTCCTGGGCAAGATAGCCCAACAAAACCCAACAATCTTCAGGTTGATTTTAAATTCAGCGTTTTTCCTTCTCCTAGACCGGTTGCCATCCAAGGCTATAGGACCCAGACCGTCATGTTGTTTATTTGCAAGTGAATATAAGAGTTAAGTTTTCGACCCCCCTTCCCTCTTACACGTTTTTTGACAGAATGATAAATTACGAAATAAGATGAATATCATTTAAACGATTGTGTTTTGTGGGTTGTCGAGACATTTAAATATAGTTGTATACAGTTACCGAAGTGTCAGAATAAACTATCCATCACATTGTCTTATATAGATTAGCTTCTGGACATTGCGTTTTTTTTTTCATGCGGACAAAACTAATTGGACAGACGAATTAGTAAAGAAAAAAGCACCTAAAACAAAATTTATAAAAGCAATTGGATATGTATTTCCCAGATTTTAAAATTGAATTTATAAAAGTTGATGTATACGGAGAACCATTCCTCAAACTGAAATCAATAAAAAAATTTTATACATAATTATTTCATATTTAATTCTATTAACTTTTAATATAACTTTTATATGTAATTCTATTAGTACAGTTGAATCCCTGACAACCGGACTAAGAAGGCCTTCCGGATATGAAGAATTGGTTACAAAGTCCGGATATGAGGGGTTATATTTAGATTAAAATAAAAGAACTGAAATCAGGTTGAACATCTATTTTCAACGTTTTACAGTAAAAAAGTAAGCTAAGAGTTGGTGAAATATAACGGAATTGATTTTAAGGAAAAAGAAATAAATTATGTACTGTTAATGAAAATTCATTAAATTAAATATGCCACGTATGCAAACCAAATAATGTAACGAGGATTTTTTAATCGCTGTTGCATGATGATTCTTTCTCTTCTAATGTCATTTTCAACTTTTTTCGCATTTCGTTTTGCTTTTGTGCTTGAAATGTTTTAAACGAAAGACACTTTTTAACTCTGCGTGCGTTATTATAATCGTCATAACTGAATGCTGGCTTTCTTTCCATAAAACTGACAAACTTTTCACTCGCTTTTGCAATTTCAGTCCAGATTTCATCACAATTTATGCATCTCGTCGCTATCTTGTTGCAGATTGTATCGTTGTCATCCTTTCCTCTTATTCCCATCATCTTTTGCACCAATACAAGCCATTAGGGTGAAATAAGCATAAGCAATTATCCAAAGTAAATTTTCTGAAAATCAGTTACATATCACCCAAATAGTTCAAATATGAACATCAAAATCATGTCCGGATATGCGGGATTCCGGATATGCGGGATTCCGGATATGCGGGATTCCGGATATGAGGCACTCCGGATATGAGGGATTTCGGATATGAGGGATTCCGAATATGTGGGATTCCGGATATTTGGGATTCCGAACAAAGAATAAAAGAGAGGTGATAAAGAATCAAAAGTTATTTTGAGCAAATAAGCTTAGGAAGTTGTGGAGAGACATGATCGCCCAAGTTCTGAAGAAGGTGTATCTAAAGAGTGGTTTAATTAGTCCGTAACTTGACGGCTTATCTGGGATTTTCTCTATATAATGATTGGTCTATGATATTGGTAAAGAAAATTGTTAATCTATCTATCTATCTATCTATCTATCTATCTGTTTTCTTCATTATATATATATATATATATATATATATATATATATATATATATATATTTTCGTCTTTTCATCATTATCTTTCTTTGTCTTTTCATATCTATCTTCAGATAATTCACCTCAAACCTCATTTATTATCCCAAAAATTCACATACGTTTGCATCATGAAATAAAAGAAATTATGCATTTTTTTTTTAGAATATATCCAGTTTTACCATGAAGTCTTCTGAAGATTGAATATAATTCCACTAAACTCAGAGTAGAGACAAGCTATATGAACAAATTTTATTTATTTATTTATTATTACAATTAATGCTCTGTTACATGATATTGAGCACGAAATTTACAGACTGCTTACCTTGAAGCGTTATCTTCCAGAATTATTCTGTTTCGACCTCAACCCAATAGAAAACTTATGGAGAATGTTGCTCAACTGCTTTCTCGAGAGCCTGTACTTTATAATGCTCCATAAGTTTTCTATGGGGTTGAGGTCAGGAGATTGGGGCGCCCATGTCATAACACTCACCTGCTTCGCATCAAAGTATTCCTTCATTTTGGTGGGGTCGATTTGCACCCTTTTAGCAGAAGGGAACAGACAAGACTCTAAAATTCTCTTGTACTGCTCGCTCCTGAGGGTCTTTTCAATAGGTTATAAGAAACCAGTTCCATGAAAAGAAAAGCATCCCCAGAACATTATACTGAACGAATGCTTGACAGTACTTACTGCTAAATTCAAAGAGCTTTCAAAGCTTCTCCTTCGGATTTTAGATCGCTTATCCTTTGAATTTAGCTCAACTTTCGTTTCATCGGAGACGAGAACATTTAGTAAAAAAAATCAGGTGAGTCACTTTTATCGAACAGCACTGTATATATATATATATATATATATATATATATATATATATATGTATGCATGCGTGAGTATGTTTGTGTGTGTTGTGTGTATTTTGTTTCCGAAGAAAGAAATACATAAAGAGAGAAAGAGAGTAAGTACACCAGAGAAAATGAAAGAAATGCTTTTTGCTTGTAAAGAAAAAGATATTATCAGTTAAAAACTGAACGAATTTCCCCCCCTCTTCAGAGTCCAAGAGAAACATCCTCCAAAACCTAAGAAGTAAGAAAGTAGTTCCCTGCTGCGCTAATTTCAGATTCTAGCAATACCAGTAATTGCCGAAAAAATAGGGTCAGTCTGTTGTATACTAAAAGCCAGTTTACTAATGCTTAATCAGAACGAGGAAGTTAAAAAAAATGGAAAAAAGGAGCCTATACGTCGAACTAGAAAGAAAGTTGAGATTTCTTGGATACATAATGAAGAAAGAGGGTTTGGAGAATTTAAAACTCACAGGACGCATAAAAGGCAACAAGGATAGAGGAAAACATTGAGTAACCTACCTAACGTTCTTAGACCAGGGATTGAGGAGGACAGCGAAAAGACAAATCTTACTTAGATCTTTTTTATAGCGGTGTTCACACTGTACAAGTCCTGAGAGCCATTCAAGGTAGAGAGTTACAGAGTAAGAGATACAGTTTATGTAGATATGTGGGAAAGATAACGGTTAACCCTTGACTTGAACAGGTTAAGATTATAGTGATCGGAAAAAACCTCCTCTTGGGAGACGGTTCCACAAGGCAAGGGTTCATGGGAAGAAACTACTCGAGTGGAAATTGCATCTTACCAGGGGTATATGAAGGGAATGAAGGTGGTTCGCTATAGTGTGAGTATCATGGCGGGTCTTAGCCGTGAAGGTTAAAACTGGTGGAACTAAAGAGTGTAGTTCATCTGAATACTCACCATGGAAATAACGTTAGGGAAGTGAGAGGCTTGCGACGTCTTGTCTGTGGGAAAGGGTTGGCAAAGCATAGGAAGTTGTGGAGAACCATGCTCGCTATAAGAAGAGAAAGAAGAATACTTTATCAAATGTATGAACTAAAACTGATCTTCATCGTATGAAATGTAGAAACAG